TTTTTTTTTTTTTTTGACGAATATGAAAAACTAGACACGAAATATAACAATGAGTTTTCAAATTACAAACTCTATTCTGAAAAATGTCATTCACTGTGATATGCCTCAATAAATAATTTTTCTTACGGACAAGAGACTGATCAAGATTTTCGCCACATTCTGGCTAAAAGTGAAATTGTACTCCAAAAATATTTGAACAGTGAAACGAACAGGCATAAAGAGTTAAAGTACGTGCAACGTAAACTCAAGTTAGATTTTGAACGTGAACTTGATGACATATATAAATTACATCATTTTTTTAATAAGTGACGGCTATATTGTCATAAGCGAAATTCGACGTGCACTCCTTTATCCTCACCAGAGATTTTTTTCATTAAGCACTGTAAAATTTATCAAAATGATCAAACTATCAATCCTCCTCAAAACGATCTAACGTTAAGCAAATAAATCGTAAATGTAACCTTGAATTGATCCCTCCGCCCCTCCACCCTTCGATCGATTCTAAAAAGACAACGAAAGCAAAACAAAACAAAAAAAAGAAAGAAAGAAGAAGAAGAAGGAAAGAAGGCAAAAATACTAGAGTAGATAATTAATTAGGAACAGTAGGAACGGATTTCATTTTTGAGCAAATCCTTGAACCTCACCTAGGGGCGAGGCCGAACTTCCGGGACCACGCAGCCGGATGTCGGTTCGGTGATTAATCGATGCTGTGAATAGCATTGCACCAGAACGGATGCACGAGTTTATCGAGATTGTATCGCGTACTCGTATTTATGCAAGTACCGCACTTGCCTTCGTCGCGCGTGTGCGATAGTGTGTTGCTTTATTTATCGTAGAAAACGCGTTTTACAAAACATTCCCGGAAGCAGGGAGGCGTGATCGATCGATTTGAATGAGAATGATCACTTCGCCTTGGCGCAATTATCTTCCGAGAGACATTACACAGACTCTCCAAGGCACGCGCTCCCGTCGAAATGACGATGCATGACGTATGAAAAATAAATCATCAGCATATTACGTTGCAATAAACTGACGCGTATCTTATGGCAATCAACTCGCATTTTTTTTTTTTTTTTTTTTTTTTTTTTTTGGCGGCGTGAGATGAATTCTATCTAGATAGAACGCGGATCAAAGCAAAATATAATTATTCGTTGAGTTTGCTACTTCCTTTCTCTCAGTGATTTTCTGCAATCAGAATAATGTAATTTACGATCTGCGGATTTTTGTGTATCTTTCGTAAAACAGTAGTTTGCAGAGAAATGAAGAGAACTGTTTTATACGTTTAAATATCGTTGAAGAATGTACTATATTTGGATATATTTTTCTTCTTCGTAAAAAGCCGCTGTTTAATCATATCACGCCTGATTGCTAGTTTGAATCTTCTTATAACAAGATGTCTCTCAGATCGGTAAAAGTTTTTAGGAAACGAGGTTTAGACGAAAATTCGAAGGCAAGACTAACCTATTGAGTATTGTAACGTTACGAGTACTTCTTCGATTTCTTCAAAATGTCCGAAAATTGTGAAACCTAGAGAAAGGGATCGTAAAACGATGGAACAAAGTGGATCGAGTGGATCTCCTTTCACAGTCTCGATATTAAAGAATCAAATTTTCGTAGAACAGATTGGACGGACAAGTAAAATGTAACGAGTTCGGATACAACTGATCGTTTCTCCTTTTCATCGACGACCTGCTTACGTTCTAAAATCATCCCGCGTGAATTAACACGAGAGAGATCGATGAATCACCATCGACGATCAAACGTCCCAACGTGGGGGAAAACGTTCGAATAAAATCACTACGCGAAAAACACAAGGCACGTAACAGCGAACACGCATCTTCCGATTGAAAAATTCTCTTCGCGAGTGCCGACTATCCGTTATAAATAGACCGTCCATGCGAATGTTTATGCAATTTCCTATTTCTGCAGAACATGACACCGAAGAAATGAAATCTCTAGATAGCCGATTTCTATGCAACTTCATATACTTTTGTAAACATAGAAATGAAGTCTAAGCAGAAATCTTTCTGCTTACTTTCGACGTTTCATACACACGTTTGTATATTTTCGTCTATTTTCTGCATTTCTTTCAATTTCTTCTAAACCGTGTGAGTAGTCTAATATTAATATATTACTATTACCATTTTACTATTTCGTATCATCTTACGTGACATTATGTATGAACTGTTGTTTTGTAAAATTTTGAAACTTTGAAATGCAGTTCCATTTCGAACATCTCATGTATGTACATATTATTGGATAATACTTATTACTTTACTTGTGCACCGATCGTCCTGCAAATATTTGGAAAAATTTAAATTTCCCGAAATGAAAATGCACAAACATTCGTAGTCTAGTGAGACGAAAAGGCACGTCGGTGATTAAAATATAGCAAAGTTATATATATTCGCGCGTCGCTTGCAATGCAAACGCTCGACCTTAGAATCCGCTTACTCATAAAACTTGTGTAGAATTCGATCGGTTGCGTGACGATCGAGAATCTCGATCTCTGTACACTATACCCTTGTCACTGGAATCGCCTCATACACGTCTCGGATAAAGAAATTTTCGTTTTCTCTCAGGCTTCGACGTATTGTTCAAATATACAAAATATCTCATGCATGATCTTA